TGGGGGAAGGGTCTGACAGGAGTAAGAGGATGTAGTTCAGAGTTGCTCTGATTATGATACTGTGTATATATATGAAACTCTCAATAATTTTTAAAGACTCTCATATAGATAGCTGACACCTTAAGCTAAAGTTATTAATATAGTCATGTAAAGAAAGCATTTTTCTTGGTGTTATAATTCTTTTCTTAGATACTTTATTTATTATTTTTATTTTATGTGTATGGATGTATTGCCTGCATGTATGTGAGTGCACCCATGTCATGCAATGTCGCAGAGGTCAGAAGCGGGCTACTGATTCCCCTGGAACTGGAGTTAAGGACTGTTAGTAGCCACCATGCGGGTGCCAGGAATCAAACCTGGTCCTCTGCAAGAGCAGTCAGTGCTCTTAAATGCTGAGCCATTTCTCCTGCCCTGGTGATATAATTCTTATGCCTTCCCATGTTTTGCTGTCATTTGTTGAAGGGTGAGGTTGATACAAATAGTAAAATTAGTTTCATAGAGATAACATATAAGGATTTCCAGAACTATTCATTATTTATAATTAGCCACTTGTTAATCTAGGGACACTGATAGAATTATTTTACACAATAGGCACTATCGTTGTCTAATTCCTTTGTGCCTATCAAAGAAATGAGAATTATCCTTGGCCCAAACTTAAGAACAGGCTGTTTCCAACACCACTGCTGGTTGTCCCTGTTAGCTTACATTCTTAAATTTGGGCAGGGCACACATCTCTGGTCCCAGCACTCAAGAACACTCAGGAGTCAAAGGCAGGGAATCTCTGTACAACTGAGGCCACTCTGGTCCTCATAGTGAGTTCTAGACTAGCTGGGCTACAGGGAGACCTAGTTGCAAAAAACATAAAAGAATAAAACTAACAAACTAACACCTGAGGGAAGTGCCTGCCTTAACACTAGTAGTGAATATTTTAAAAGATATGTATCTTATATATAATATTATATATAATACGTGTATCTAAGGAGATAAGTAATTTATTTTAGATGGCATATTAACACAAAATTAGCTTTTAAATTTAATAGCTATAAAACAAATAGAGGGGAAGACAATTTTTATTTTTTAAAGGTTTTATTTATTATTTTAATTTTATGTGTATGAGTGTAGTACTTACAAGCAGGTAAGGTGCACCCGATAGTGTGAAACACCTGAAGAGATCATAAGAGGGCATTTGATTCTTTGGAACTGGAGTTACAGTCAGTTGTTACCTGCCATATGGGAGCTTGAAATTGAATCCTGCTCCTCTTCAAGAACAATCAGTGCTTTTAACTGCTAAGTCAACTCTCCAGTTCCGAAAAGACAACTTTTAATTAAAAGATTTCTTTTTTTAATTGAATTTTGGTATATTTCATACACAACATCTTAATCATCTTTATACACCCTCCCCATTGGCACCCTCCCATAGACTTCCCCCACTGTCAAATGCATCCTGTCATCTATGATAGGGTCTATTGAATCAAGTTAGTGTCCTCTGACATCTTTCAGTGCATATTCATTCACTGAGGTCTAACCAGCCGACCTAGCGTCACTCTCTTAAACAAGATCATCTCTTCCTCTCCCAGCAGTATGCAGCTGCCCAATAGTTCTTTGGTTAATATTGGGACTTTCTGCCCATTTCCACAGTTCTATGCTGGATTTCTATTTGTTTGAATTTGCGTGGGTCTTGTGCATGCTGCCATGATTGCTGTAAGTTCATATGGGCAAGGTTTCACGAGCCTATAATACTCTATTTCTGTATGGTCATGCACCTCCTCCCCAGGGTCGTATAGTCGCCACATCCCTCTTCTGCAATGTTGCCTGAGCCCAGAGTTCATTGCCCTCAGTTGCATGACTTAGCTTCGTTTATGAGAATTGAGAGATGCATTAGTGTTTTCTCTACCCTTGTTCCACTATGCTCCATGAGTCTTAGGTGTAGAGGTTCCACTGTAGATGTGTCACTTTTGAGTTTGGGCATTTCATAAACACATACTCTCTGGGTGTGACCACTTGTACAACTGTAATAGCATTGTTAGACCTAACAGTAACACCATGTAAGCATATGGGTGTTTATAAATTTCTCTCAGAAAGTAGTTGTCTGATCCTAAGTTATGGGACATAATGAATAATACTGTGTTGTTTTAGTGGATAATATGGTTCACTAATTCTTTTTGGCAGGAAACAATAATAAAACTACTAAATCAGTTAAAAATTTTTTTTAAAGCACATTCATTTGAACAATATACAGGATAATTATTCATGATACATTCTATGAAAATTGCACTATTTATTTCTTTAAATATGCGGAGTTATGTTTCATATAAGCCATTCCAAAAGACAAAACTTTATAATAAAACTGCAAACATTCCATCAACAGTTGATAGTGCTTTACTACCAATTTACGGTCATTCAAATTGTGTCTTCTAACATTGCATTTTATATCTGGTTTGTTTTTGCTTTTATTGTCTCAGATACAAAACCCGTCTTTTGTTTAACAGAAATGGAATGAACTGTTTGAGAGGGAAAAAATTGGCTATGATCTATATGAAAGATACAAAATTTAAGAAGCAGGATAACATTAAATGATTGCTTA